GCGCCCCTGTGGGATGCCAGCACTGCAGGTGGCAGCTTTACCCACTACGCCACAGCGCCAGCCCCTCAGACAACTTTTTGTGGGAGTTCAGCGCAGAGGCAACAGAGTGGGTCAATTCCAGCTCGATGAGTTCCCACCCCGTGCACACCCTGTTCTCTCAAATCCATTAATAAACAGTGGCTTGCAACGTACCCGCCTGTCTCTGTCACCAGCTAGCACGTTCTCCGCGGCCAGCACCCCGCATCTGGTTTTCTCTGGGTGACCTCGATCCCTAGCGCAGATCCTGTCGATGGCGGCTCCCAGGAAGCTCCGGCTGGGTCAGAATTTGGAAGTTCCCATGGGAACTGACCAAGTGGATCAGGGTCAGCTTGAGCTCACGCCGAACCAAAGACACACTCGAGGCTGATCGGGGCCAGTGCTTTGCTCCACTGTGGCAGGTGGTCCCTCTCTGTGTCCAAATTCTGTCCATTTGAGTTTTTTTTTTTTTTTCTGCTTGCCCTTAGGCAGTTTCTGGCGAGTCCTCTGGCAAACAGGCTTGAGGCCAGGATGAAAGAGCTGAGGCTTTGTTTGGGAGACGTGGTCCCGGGGCAGGGAGGCAGAGGGTGGAGGAAGGGGACCGTGCGGTGTGTCGCCTGGCTGGTGTCACTGCCCAGCAGGTCGCTCAGCATGCCTGGTGTTGGGAGTGGCTGGGCCGCTGGGGACGGAAATCGTTAACTTCACACCTCCAGGTCCCAGTGAGGAGTGAGTCCTGAGGTTGTCACGGTGGAGTGACCCTTAGGGCTGCCTGCCTACCTGTCCCGGGCAGACGTACACCTTAAATCAGTAATTTAGATAAACACCCATCAGGGGAGCCTCCTGCCTGGTCAGGCCCACCTTATAGCTCATGCACACGCCCCTTCCCCAAGGCCAGGGGTGTAGAAAGACAACTGCCCATCCCCGGGCACTGAGCTCTCCCGTCCCCTGCTCGCTGTCTGGACCCACTTCTTACCACCCACCCTCCCTCTCCTCTGCTATCCTGTTTCCAATAAAATTTCTTCTGCCCCGAGCAGTTGTTTCTCTGCCTTCCAGGAGCAGAAAGCCCCCGAGAACCCAACACCTGGCACAGGGAGTTTTCTAGAAGATTCCCAAAGAGAAAACGGGAGTCTGTGGAAGGGCTGCTCCGTGTCTCACGGTGGTGGGTCCACGCGTGGAGGGACGATGCGACACGCTAAGGTGCCGGCCAGGAGGTGGTGGAGGGAATCTGAGAAGGTCCCCGGGGGCTGCATCCCACGAGGGTCCTCGCCTGTGCCCGCAGGCCTGAGCGCACTCCCACGATCCTGGCCTACACCCTCCTCCCTCCACTCTGCTCAGGGACAGAGGCCAGTCCTTGGTGGTGGCCGTTTGGGGGAGTCTCAGGACACAAGCTCATGGTGGGGACCCCTCAGCTTCCTCCTCTGTGACCCACTCCAGCCCCCCACCCCCGAGGCCTCTGCCAGTGCTTTGGCCGGGCTGTGACGCTGGTCCTCATGGGTCCAAGTCCATAGTTGCCTTGTCCAGTGATGGCCTTGACCAGGCATGGAAATAGTAGGGGAGGTGGCCCAGCAAATCCTCTGGGTCACCTTGGGGACGTTCTCTGCCCATTGCCTCTGGGCTGTTAGCATAACTGTCATGGGAGTTAGGACAAGTGGCCCCTGCGGTGTAGTCACCCCCTCCTTTGTGGGCCACTGGCAGGAGGAGCCAGGGGCGGCCAGGTGCTAGGGCAGCTTCCGTTTCAGTGGGCGCCCGATTATGCTGCGTTCTTCTCTGCCCCTACAACTAGAACTTCTAACCCAGCTGAGTGCACGGGGAAGGCATAGCCCAACTTCTCGAAGGGGTTCCTCTGTGTGACATGAGACACACCTGCACCTGCCAGCTGTCGGTTCAAGGCGCATCCTGCCTCCTGAGACAGGCTGGAGCCGAGGCAATGTCTTCCCGTCGGTGCCTCAGCTGACCCGCTGTTCTGTTGGGCTGACGGTCCCTGAGTAACAGTGGGGTTCATGCGACACCAGTGAAGTCACAGTCATGGGCATAGTTGCGCCTCCTTGGCTGGAATGGGCCATCTGGTCTGAGGCCTTGCCATGTGGGAATCTAGGCCAGCCGATGAGGCGCTGGCAACTTTGGACGCCGTGAGCAGATGCTGTGCACCTGTTGCACTGAGGACAAACCGTTCATGGCTCCGGGGTGGAAGGGGTCTGATGCAGCTGGTGGCTGCCTGGGTCTTCCCAGAGAACGGACTGCTCACTACTGCAGGTGGGTGGGCCTCTCCCGTGGAACAGCACGATGAGCGTGGTGTGATGTGATGCTTTGTGGGGCTGGCCACCGCCTCACCTGCCTTCCCTGGGCTCATGGGCTTCTCCAGGAGGTTTGCAAGGGCACCTGGGAGAAGTAGATCCACAGAGGACACGAGTGCCCGGTTCCCACCTCCAGCTGGTCATCGCTTGACCTGGGAGGCCCTAAGTAGTGCACGCTGTAGGGTTGCAGAAATGTAGCCTCCTGGTGGCCACTGTGGAAGCCAGAGCCTACACTTGGAGATGACGCTTGGACCCCAGAGGTGGCACTGAGAGAGGGGACAGAAGAGAGCTTGTGTCCACGACGGATGGGTAACCATTAGCCACAGGTGGCCTCCGTGGCTCAGGAAGTGCCACATCAGCTATGGTGGGCTGCCGAGTTCTGGTGCCCGGTGTCTTTGCCAGGAATGAGAGTGTGCCCAGGGTCGCTGCTGGGTCACCGTAGCTCGCTTCATAGGATGTTGGTCGTGGTGCCTTCTTGTGCGGGAAGGTTACACTGTGGGTGTTTTGTATGTTGTTTCCCTGTGTTCTAAATAGCTCCAGTATCCTCCAGACACCCAAGTGATACCTCAGAACATGTCTCCTTAAGAAACAGCGGAAGACAGCGTGAGCGTGCGGGCTCTGTTGGGACTGGGATGCCGTGGGCTACGGCCCGGGCTGCCTGGAGGTCGTCAGGTGTATCGTCAGCTTCTCATCACCATAGCAAATGCCTCAGAGCTGCTGTTTAGGAAGAGAGGAAGTTTACCCTGGCGCACGGTTAGGGAGGTTCACAGGTGCAAGGTTGGGTGGGTCAGAGGGCCGCGAAGGCGGATGCCCTGGGCCATGAAGCAGAGAAACAGGGTGCACAGGCATCGGCTGTGCCCGGGGAGGGGGGGTCTCTCCTTATGAAGCCACCAGGATTGGATCATGGGGGCTCCGCCCTACCAGCCTAGTACAATGTATTCACTTCCCAAAGGGCCCCTAAATCCTAGTACTAGCAAATGCGTCAGACCCCGACAATTTTAAAGGTTTTTAGCCCCGAAGTTCGCATGTCCTGCTATAGAATTCCTCCCAAAGAATGCAGAAAGGTAACACTGAAAGGTTGTAACTCCAGGGACGTGGGCGTTCGGCCTCGTGGTTAGGATGCCAGTGTGGTCACCCCCACCCCACACTGGAGTGACCCCTGACCCCGCGGGGGTCCTGATTCCAGCTTCCTCAGTCACATTGTGGGGGGCGGTGCCGATGGCTCAAGTAATTGTGTTCCTGCCACTCACATGGAAACCTGGACCGAATTCCCTGTTTTTCTGCAGAAACTTCTAGAACTCTTGACTCTCTCTGCTTCTTTCTTGAGCCCAAAAAGGCTTGCTGCTTGAGTTTTTAGGATAAGAGTCCAAGTAGCCTACAAGGTACTGAATTTGGTCCTGGCTTGGTTTCTGGTTCATCATGTCTGTCTGTCTGTCTGTCTATCTATCTATCTATCTTTGTTATCCACTTTCTCACTCTCTTGATCACTTGGCCACGGGACTTTTTTTTTAATTCTATGAAAGCCGCCGACTTCTTGCCCGGTGGTCTTTGCCCCTGCTCTTCCTTCCCCCTCGGCCACCGTACTGCCGTTTTCGATCAGTCGCGACACCACCTGAATAATTTCGAGTGGATAGTGGAACTCTCCCTGCAGGCTCGCCCAGCTTTCCCAGTTTGGCAAATCCAAGTGAGCTCCCTTTGAGCGGACGACACCAGCACCCAAGAGCTGGACTTTCCCCCGCTCTGTGTGGTCCCCCGAGAGGCAGGTGATATGAGCACAGGGAGTCAGAGAGGGCAGTGGCCGCTCGCCTAAGAGATGGATGTCGTGTGACGTTAGAATCGCAGAAGCAGCGAGGAGCAGCCGGGGACAACGGAGGACAAGCAGGAGCTGGCAGAAAATCACCCCAGGAGACCCTGCCTCGGGCAGGAGGAAGTGCTGCCACTCTTCCAAGTCCCTCTGAGGGTGTCACGGGGCAGGGCGGGGCCCTCCGTTTGCTCTGAGGGTCTACAGGAGTGAGTTCCGTAGTGCGGCCATGTGTTGGCTCTCGGTTTTCAGGCGCTGGGCCCCGGTGGCAAATGGCATGTGCATTAGTCCCCTCTGCTTCCCCTGACTCTGCCACCCTTAACACCACCATTTGGTAACTAGCAGAGGGAGGGACCAGCGTGGTGTTCACCCAGCCAGTGCCTTCTGAGCCATCACAGAACAGGGGGCACCCTCGTGAGTCTCGCGGGGTGACACAAAGCCAGCGGCAGGGGCCACGTGTCCCAGGGCTGATCCCTCGAGCCCACCCCCTTGGGCTCTGGGTCCCCAGTCTCAGTCTTAGGGGACGGGATCCCAACCTGCTCCTACTCCATGATTCTGGGACCTCATGGGAAGAGTCTGGCGTGGACTCTGGGGTGCACCTGCTCCGCCTTGTGGGGCCGTGGGTAGATGCTCCCCCACCTCCTCTCTCTCTCTCGGGCCTGCGTGGGCTCAGCCCACAGCAGGCATGCCCAGCACGTGGCTCCCACAGCCACGTGGCCTCAGAGACCCCCCCTCCACCAAGCTGTGACCAGTCAACCCCAATAGGAATCATCTCCCAGCTTTGACACAGGGGCCTCCCCGGCTCTGAGGGCGTGGGATTCTACGGATGCCCTCGAGGGTTATCTTCAGTCCAGGAGCCTCACCCCCTGCCCTCTCTTTCATGCCTACAGGAACCAGGGGGAGATGGCGCACACCTGCCGTGGAACCATCAACCTGGCCACCGCCCACGTGGACACGGAGAACTCTTGTGGGATCTTGCTGATCAGCGGGGCGAGGAGCTACCACCTCAAGGCCAGCTCAGAGGTGGACCGGCAGCAGTGGATCACCGCCCTGGAGCTGGCCAAGGCCAAGGCGGTCCGGGTGATGAAAATCCATTCAGGTAGCGCGCGTTCGGCGTGGTGGTGTGGACTGTGGCGCCTTGGATCTGCAGCGAGTGGGGGCTGGAAGTGTTTGGGGCGAACGGCAATGAGGAGACTCACACTGGTCTGGTGTGTACTTGCTGTTCCCCGCCGAGCTCCGTGTGACCCGCAGCCGCTCCGCCAAGGCCACCAGGGGTAGCCAGCAGCTCTCGGGCTGGTGCGGGCTCTGTGCGTGCCTTTCTTTGGATGAGTCTGGTCGCCTGGCTTTCAGGAGAGGCCCCAGAGCCAGGCCCAGAGGCGCAGTCTCAGGTGGGATTCCGGGTTGCGGACGTGTGCCTCGGGCAGGACTCCCGCCGCGGCCCCTGTTCTGGGGACTTAAGGCTGCTTAGACACAGCTGCTGCCTTTGCCGGGTGAGAGGCTGGCTCGGAGGTGCTGAGCAAGAGGCTGACTTTAGACTTTAACGCATTTTTACTGTTACTCGTCTTATTTGAGCGGCGGGGGCGGGGGAGCTCTCTCCAATCCACTGGTTCACTCCCAAATGTCTGCAATGGCTGGGGGCCGGGCCAGGGCTGAACCTGGGATCTGGAACTCAGTCCAGGCCTCCCCCATGGGTGGCAGGAGCCCAGTGGCTTCAGCTACCGCTGGGTGCGTGCCAGGGTCCGCATTAGCCGGGTGCCGGAGTCAGGAGTTGGAACTGGGTGTTGTACCCCGGCACCGTGATGTGCAGTGCCTGCGTCTTGCCTGCTAGGCTAAGCAGCCCCCCCGAGCAGTTTCCGTTTTTGAAGATGGAATGTTTGCACCCCACCCCTGAAGCAGCAGCTCCCCCTGCCCGTGCAGTGAAGTCTGTCTGGGATTCCGTGCCCAGCGCCGCCGCCTCGTTCTGCTTCCCAGGGGCAGATATACAAGGGCCCTTGAGAAAGCTGACGCAGAGTGGAATGAAAAAGCTGACGGAGAGTGGAACTCAAAGGTATTTTTGTGAAAGACATTTTTTTAAATCCCTGAGTAGCTTTTCATAATACACATTTTGCGCAAACTTCCTGAAGACCCCTTGTATACTCAAATTGGTACTTATTTCAAAACGAATGCAATTCTCCAGCTTGCCTTTTTCCATTTAGCGAGGCATCTTGGAATGTTTTCCCTGTCGGTACATAGAAGCGTGCTCCTTTTTCTCTTTTTCTCATTTTCTTTCTTTTTTTTTTTTTTTTTTTTTTTTTTTTTTTTTTTTTTTTTTTTTTGACAGGCAGAGTGGACAGTGAGAGAGAGAGACAGAGAGAAAGGTCTTCCTTTTTGCCTTTGGTTCACCCTCCAATGGCGCTGTGGCTGGCGCGCTGCAGCTGGCGCACTGCGCTGATCTGAAGCCAGGAGCCAGGTGCTTCTCCTGGTCTCCCATGCAGGTGCAGGGCCCAAGGACCTGGGCCATCCTCCACGGCACTCCTGGGCCACAGCAGAGAGCTGGCCTGGAAGAGGGGCAACCGGGACAGAATCCGGCGCCCTGACCGGGACTAGAACCCAGTGTGCTGTGCTAGGTGGAGGATTAGCCTAGTGAGCCACAGCGCCAGCCCTCCTTTTTCTTACACGAGTGCAGGATGCCTTGTGTGGATGCATCGTACTTTATCCAGCCCATTGCCCTGTTTAGCTCCGACACCCTGCTGCAGCGGGAGACCCTGCAAGACTTCATTTCACATGTGTACAGGTGTGTACGAAGCATGGGCCGGGCCTCGGCCTAGCAGTTAAGACACTGCGTAGGGCTCCCGTGTCTCCTAGCAGAGGGCCTGGGTCTGAATCCCAGCTCTGCTCCCGTTCCTGCTCCCTGTTGGTGCAGGCCCTGGGGGCGGCAGCTGATGGCTCAGGTGTCGTGACTGGCTCCCTGCCACCTGTGTGGCGATCTGGATGGATCCCAGGATCTGGGGAGTGGACCAGTGGATGGCAACTTTCTTCGTCTCTTTTTCCTTCCCTCCCATCTTCCTTCCCTCGCCCTACCTCTCAAATCAATCAATCGATCGATCGATCAATCAACAAATAAAAATGGAGTATGCCGCCCCCGAGCTGGGTGCCGGGTTATACAGCTGTGAGGCATTGTCAGACTCCTTCCCTCGGGGTTGTCTTGTAAGACACCAGTGGCGGGGTGTGACAGCTGTCTCCCCACAGCCCGGCCTCCCCAGAGCCATAGCAAGCGTTTCTGATGGGTGAAAATCGTGTCTGCACAGCCCAGGAGCAGGGATCGGGCAGCTGTGGGCCTTAGGATGTTGTGAGCAAAATGGCACGGGTCTCATGGCCCTGTGCGTGTTTCCCAGGAGACAGGGCTGCAGGCGTGAGCAGGCCCAGCCGCGGCTCTCTGGCATCGACTCCCAGCCTGGGTGGGGGGTCAGTGGGTCCTGGTGAGGAGTTTTAGCTCAGGGCAGGAAGAAGGGGCTGGCTGGAGCCATTGGTCACTATGCCCCACTTTGCATTGCGGTCTCTCCCAGCATACATTGCCATCTTTCCCAGTGTGCATTGTGATCTCTCCCAAAGTGCATTGTGGTCTCTCTCAGTGTCATTGTGGGTTCTCCAGTGTGCATTGTGGTCTCTCCCAGCATCATTGCCATCTTTCCCAGTGTGCATTGTGGTCTCTCCCAGCATCATTGCCATCTTTCCCAGTGTGCATTGTGGTCTCTCCCAGCATCATTGCCATCTCTCCCAGTGTGCATTGTGATCTCTCCCAAAGTGCATTGTGGTCTTTCCCAGCATGCATTGTGGTCTCTACTGGTGTGCATTGCCGTGTCTCTTGTTGTAAGCTGGGGAACCCTCAACGTTAGGCTGGCCTTCATCTTTTTTTTAAAGATTTATTTATTTATTTGAAATGCAGAATTACAGAGAGAGAAGGAGAGAGAGAGAGAGAGAGGTCTTCCATCGGCTGGTTCACTCCCCAACTGCCCACAACTGCCAGAGCTGCGCCGATCCAAAGCCAGGAGCCAGGAGCTTCCTCCGGGTCTCCCACACAGGTGCAGGGGCTCAAGGACTTGGGCCATCTTCCACTGCTTTCCAGGCCACAGCAGAGAGCTGGATTGGAAGAGGAGCAGCCGTTTCTCGAACTGGCGCCCATATGGGATGCCAGCGCTTCAGGCCAGGGCGTTAACCCGCTGCGCCACAGTGCTGGCCCCTGGCCTTCATTTTAAAAGGCAACACATAGCATATAAAGACCTATACGAAACAAAGAAGCCGTAACGTGGGTACCTGATTGATGTGTCTAAAATGATATATACACAGTGCAAAATTCGTGCTAGTGGTGTGACCAGTGCGTTTTCATGTATGATTTCCTTCACGGCTCACTTTCCCCAGAGACTGAATTCTGAGCAACTTCTTCTGAAATTGGTAGAGTCAGGTTGTCCTTGGACACCAAATTGTATTTCATCACAAATTTGGTAAACCAATGAGAGAGAAAGGTTTCATTTCTTTTTTTAAAATATTTATTTCTTTTTTTTTTTAAGTAGAATTAGAGAGGGAGAGACAGAGAGAGGTCTTCCATCTGCTGGTTCACGCCTCAAATGGCCACGACAGCCAGAGCTGGGCTGACCTAAAGCCAGGAGCTTCTTCTGGGTCTCCCATGTGGGTGCAGGGCCCAAACACTTGGGCCATCTTCCGCTGCTTTCCCAGGTCATGAGCAGGGAGCTGGATCGGAAGTGGAGCAGCCGGGTCTTGAACCAGCACCCATATGGGATGCCGGCACTGCAAGTGGTTTTACCCACTACACTACAACACTGGCCCCCTGAAATGTTTCATCTTCGTATTTATCAAATATCTGCCGGTGATGAAAACAAGACCGTGTGAAAATGTTCGGTGTGGCCGGCGCCGCGGCTCACTAGGCTAATCTGTCTTGCAGTGCCGGCACACCGGGTTCTAGTCCCGGTCGGGGCGCCGGATTCTGTCCCGGTTGCCCCTCTTCCAGGCCAGCTCTCTGCTGTGGCCAGGGAGTGCAGTGGAGGATGGCCCAAGTGCTTGGGCCCTGCACCCCATGGGAGACCAGGAGAAGCACCTGGCTCCTGCCTTTGGATCAGCGCAGCGCGCCGGCCGTGGTGGCCATTGGAGGGTGAACCAACGGCAAAAAGACCTTTCTCTCTCTCTCTCTCACTGTCCACTCTGCCTGTCAAAAAAAAAAAAAAAAAAGTTCGATGAATCCCTCTGCATACCCATCCCAGTTCTGCTATTGGCAATTCCTTTATGCTCGCCATGCAAGGGAGCTATACATCGCTATTCAGCAGACGTGCAGCGCCATCTGGTGGGCATCTGGTGTGATTGCAGCAGGACACTTGGAGTTCCAAGAGCCGCACTGTTGTCTCGGGGTAAGTGTCTGGGTGGCATTCATCCTGAAGTGTGACAGCACAACCGTCCAGCTCCACACCGGGTGGCCTTAACGTCCACACTCCCGTGCACCTGCATGTTGGCCTGTGGGCGGTTCCAGAATCAGGTGCAGTCTGCCCCTATCTTCTTCTTCTTCTTTTTTTTTTTTTTTTTGACAGACAGAGTGGACAGTGAGACAGAGAGACAGAGAGAAAGGTCTTCCTTTGCCGTTGGTTCACCCTCCAATGGCCGCCGCGGCCGGTGCACCGCGCTGATCCGATGGCAGGAGCCAGGTGCTTCTCCTGGTCTCCCATGGGGTGCAGGGCCCAAGCACTTGGGCCATCCTCCACTGCACTCCCTGGCCATAGCAGAGAGCTGGACTGGAAGAGGAGCAACCGGGACAGAATCCGGTGCCCCAACTGAGACTAGAACCCGGTGTGCCGGCGCCGCTAGGCGGAGGATTAGCCTGTTTAGCCGCGGCGCCGGCTTGCTCCTATCTTCTGATGTCCTATCTGCCTCCTCACAGGATGCCGCAGGCCTGTCGCGCCCGCAGCCCTGCCATGCACACCGCCATGACCATACTAATGGTGGCTGGAGTTGGTACCCAGATGCAGCTGTTTCCTGGCCCTGAAACAAAATGCCTGAAGCAGAGCTATTTGCAAAGAACAGAGATTTCTTTAGCTTGCGGTTCAGGAGGAAGTCCACGAGCGTGGTGCCGGCACCTGTCCAGCTTTGCTAAGGGCCTTGCGGTGGAGGAGGGCACCACCCGATGAGCCAGGAGCAAGCCAGGCAGAGTTTGTGTTTATAACAAAGCTGGTTCCGAGCTCACCTCAATCTGTGAGTGGATTAATCCAACCCGTTCATCCTTTCCTGGTCTCCCATGCGGGTGCAGGGACCCAAGCACCTGGGCCATCCTCCGCTCCCTCCCGGGCCACAGCAGAGAGCTGGACTGGAAGAGGAGCAACTGGGACTAGTACCCAGTGCCCCAACTGAGACTAGAACCCGGAATGCCGCACCACAGGCGGAGGATTAGCCAAGTGAGCCAGCGCCAGCCAACCATGAATTCTTAAACACAACATCAAAAACAATAAAAGAAAAAGACAGATAAATTGAACTTCATCAGAAATGAAAAGTTCGGGGCTGGCACAGCAGGTAAAGCCACTGCCCACAACACTGTTGCCAGTTTGAGTCCCATCTGCTCCACTTCCAATCCAGCTTCCTGCTAATGTGCCTGGGAAAAGCAGCGGAAGATGGCCCAGTGCTTGGGCAGCACCCACATGGGAGACTAGGATGAAGCTCTTGGCTCCTGGCTTTGGCCTGGCCCAGCCCTGGCTGTTGTGGCCATTTAGGGAGTGAACCAGTACGTGGAAGACTCCTCTCTGTCTCTGTTTCTCCCTCTCTCTCTAAAATTCTGCTTTTCAAATAAATAAAGAAATCTTAAGAAAAACCAGTCTTAATCTGTTATACTAGCAAAGAACTTGTAGAAACCAAATTTAAAACATAATACTTCTTATAACTATTCCCTCCAAAGGAAGTGCTTGAGTATAAATCTAACAAAACATGTACAGGATCTGTATGCTAAAGCATAAAAAAAGCTGGTGAAGAAGAAATCAAAGAAAATCTGAGGACATGGGAGGCATACCATGTCCATGGACTGGGAGACTCGCCACAGCAAAGATGTCAGGTCTCCTCAGACTGACCTATGGGTCTAACAGAACGTCCATCAGAATCTCTTGTAGTTTACTCTAAAACCCATGTGGAAACACAAAGGACCTGGAATAGCTAAGACCATCTTTAAAAAGAAGAAATGGGGGCCGGTGCTGTGGCTCAGCGGGTTAAAGCCCTGGCCTGAAGTGCCAGCATCCCATAAGGGTGCTTGCTGGTTGTAGTCCTGGCTGCTCCTCTTCTGATCAAGCTCTCTGCTATGACCTGGGAAGGCACTGGAAGATGGCCCAAGTCCTTGGGCCCCTGCACACACGGGTTAAGTTTTAATTAATTTTATTTATTTATTTGGGAGACAGAGACAGAGAGAGAGAATTCCTGTCTGCTGGTTCACACCCAGAATTCCCACAGTGCCCAGGCTGAAACCAAGAGTTATGAATTTGACCCAGGTCTCCCACGTGGGTGGCAGGGACCCCACTCCTTGAGTCACCTCCTGCTGCCTCCTGGGACGCACACAGGGAAGCTGGAGTCAGGAGCGGAGCCGGGACTTGAACCCAGACAGGCGCCCCACGCAGTGTCTTAACTGCTAGGTTAAATGCCTGCCCCCGGTTTCTACAAAGGTACAGAAGCAGTTCAATGGTGGAAGGGGAGCTTTCTCAGCATGCGCTCCTGGGGGAACTGAACATTCACAAGCAAAGAAAGAAAAAGTGAACGTTAACCTAAGCATCAAAGTTAATTCAGAAGCAACGGGGCGGGGGGCAAGGCTGGCACTGTGGCACCGCAGGCCAAGCCACCACTGGTGATGCTGGCAGAAGATGACTCACACCCTTGAGCCCCTGCCATGCATGTAGGGAGTGAACCTCTCCCTCCCTCTCCCCTCCCCCTCCCCCTCCCCTGAGGGTAGCAGGGGCCCAAGGACTTGGACCACCTTCCACTGCTTCCCCAGGAGCATTAGGAGGGAGCCGGCTCAGAAGCAGAGCAGCCTGGACTTGAGCCAGTGCCCTAACGGGATGCTGGCATCGCAAGCCACAGCTTAACCCACTGGGCTACAACGCTGCCCCCAAAGAGTATATAAAGAACTTGCAAGGCCGGCACTGCAGCTCACTAGGCTAATCCTCCGCCTTGCGGCACCGGCACACCGGGTTCTAGTCCCGGTCGGGGCGCCGGATTCTGTCCCGGTTGCTCCTCTTCCAGGCCAGCTCTCTGCTGTGGCCAGGGAGTGCAGTGGAGGATGGCCCAAGTGCTTGGGCCCTGCACCCCATGGGAGACCAGGAGAAGCACCTGGCTCCTGCCATCGGATCAGCGCGGTGCGCCGGCCACGGCAGGCATTGGAGGGTGAACCAACGGCAAAGGAAGACTTTCTCTCTGTCTCTCTCTCTCTCACTGTCCACTCTGCCTGTCCAAAACAAAAACAAAAAACCTCGCAAAATGCAGTGATCAAAAGGCCATCTAATCCAGCCGTGGAGACTGCCCATCTAATCAGAGAGTGCACAGAAGACCGTGAGCAGATACTTTATGGAAGAGAAGGGACAGGTGCTCGGTGTGACTCAGGTCCCCCGGGGACATCAGCACACACTGGAGAGCGTCAAGGTGACGATGCAGGTGGTACTCAGCGCCGGGGCGTCCGTCAGACACTGCCAGTAGGAACAAGCAGCAGCACGGCCACTCTGGAAGTCGGCTTTCCGTTTCTCACAATATGAAGCACTCAGTGACCCTGTGACCAGCCAAGGCACCCAGAGAAATGCAAACTTATATTGCCACACACACACACACACACACTCACACAAACTGCACACCAATGTTCATAGCAGCACAATTTGGCTTTTCTTTTTCAAGAATTATTTATTTGAAAGTCAGAATCGCAGAGGGAGAGGGAGAGGGAGGGAGAGAGAGAGAGAGAGAGAGAGAGGTCTTCCATCCACTGCTTCACTCCCCAAATGGCCGCAATGGCTGGAGCTGGGCTGGTGCAAAGCTAGGAGCCAGGCGCTTCTTCCAGGTCTCCCAAGCAGGTGCAGGGGCCCAAGCACTTGGGTCATCTTCCACTGCTTTCCCAGGTGCATTAGCAGGGAGCTGGATCAGAAGTGGAGCAGCCGGGACTCGAACCGACGCCCATATGGGATGCTAGCATGGCAGGCAGAGGGTTAATGCACTATAGCAGCATGATTTGTAAAAGCAAAGCACTGGAAACCATGCACGCGTCCTTCAGTGAGTGAATGGGGACGTCCACACTCAACAGGGGAAAATGAGTGGCTGGGCTATGTTTTACGAAGGGTTTATTATTTGAGAGATAGAGATACGGAGGTATCATTCATACGCTGGCTCACTCCCCCAGATGGCCACAGCAGCCATGCCTGGGCCAGGCTTAAGCCAGGAGCCTGGGTCTCCCAGGTGGGTGCCAGGCATCTCAGGAGATAGCTGAACCTGCTGAGCCACAGCGCCACCTCCTGGCCGTCTTCTGCCTTACTTCTGTCCTCAAAAATGGGCTAGAGGTACTGAGAAGATTCACTTAAGTAAAGTGTGGAAAAGCCAATAAAAGTGAGCGTACTTATTGAATAAAATCACGTTGGCAGCTTTAAAATAATACAGGTTTGCAGGTGCCCCTTCCCTGCTAAAGCTGCATAAGAGTGACTTGGAGGGAGAGGACTCTAGGCTAATCCTCCGCCTTGCGGCGCCGGCACACCGGGTTCTAGTCCCGGTCGGGGTGCCGGATTCTGTCCTGGTTGCCCCTCTTCCAGGCCAGCTCTCTGCTGTGGCCCGGGAGGGCAGTGGAGGATGGCCCAAGTCCTTGGGCCCTGCACCCCATGGGAGACCAGGAGGAAGCACCTGGCTCCTGGCTTCGGATCAGTGCGATGCACCGGCCGTAGCACGCCGGCCGCGGTGGCCATTGGAGGGTGAACCAACGGCAAAGGAAGACCTTTCTCTCTGTCTCTCTCTCTCACACTGTCCACTCTGCCTGTCAAAAAAAAAAAAAAATCTCCTAGGTACAGATTCAGCACACAAAAAATACAGACCACTCAGTGTTTAATTTGGACTTCAAATACACAACAAATCAGGTTTTGGTGCAAGGTGATTCCATGCAACATTTGGGACGTCCTCACACTAGCCTTTGTTTGCTGTGTACCTGAAATTCAAAGTTGCTTGGCGTCCTGCAAGTGAGCCTATCCTAGGGACTCTGCTCCCAGCTCCCTGGTCTGAAGACAAACCTCGCAGGCAGCAAGTAGAGGCTATCCCTCCACCCGACACCGGGGGGCGCTAGAAGATGGCCTGTTCGTTTTCTCTCCTCCCAATATTAAAGTGGTGTTTGGGAATGTGTGAGCAGCTTTACAATTCACCTCGCGTCCTTGCGGGTTATTTTTAGATTTTTGGGGGTCCACCTCCTAGAGGGACTTGGGGAAGCTGCCAGAGGGCATACAGAGCCAGCCGTCTCTCTCCCTCCCTCCCTCTCTCTCCCTCTCCCTTCGCTTTCCTACTGGGGACTACTCCAGCTCCTCCGGGGCTCCCCTCTCCTGCCCGGCTCCCCCAGGCGAGCCTGTTTCCACCTTGATGTCACAGCCCTATTCTGATATCACAGCCCAGCTTCTGGAATTATCCCAGGCAGCCCAGATTCCGCCCTTACAGCTGAGCAGAGGGTGGGAGGGGGCTAGGGTGGCCGGCAGCCCTAGGGGCTGACCCGAAGGAACATCGGGGCACCTGCCATCCCATGGCTCTGAAATGAAAAGCCCCTGAAAGGTAGGACTCGGAAGGCGTCCCTCCTGCTTCCCGCAGCTGCACGGTCCCCGCTGGGTGGAAGTGAGTCCCAGGGCGTGTGCTGTTTTTCTGGCCTTGTCGGCAGCTCCTGGCAAACCTGGGGCGCCAGGTGGCCCTGAGAAGCGACAGCGCCTCCTTGGTCCATTCAGCAACTCCCCCCTCCCCAGGTGGAGGAGTTTTCCTGAACCACAAGGCTGCTCAGCCTCAACGCCCACCCCGCCCCAGCTGTCTTTGGTCCCGTCCATCCCTTCTGGACACTGGGCTTTGAGTGCTGGGGTGGGGTTTCCGTGGCGTTTGGTGCTGGTTCATGGCCGCCCCTTCCGTCTTCCTTCCTGGAGACGCTGCGGGGGGGACAGGGGTGTGGTCTTCTGGGGACCAGAGGCAGATGTGGCCGAATTCCCACTGTTCACCTGCAGATGCACCAGCCCCGTTCTCCTCCCCGGCCACCAGCATTGCAAGGTCTCTGTGAATTCATTAAGTCAGTAGGAAATCGACCCGCATGGATTAAACAGCACGGTCTTGCAAAATCCCGAGTGACTTCTAACTGGCGGGCATAAAGTTCCCTTGGAGCAATTAAAACTGCAGATTATATATTTTTTAAACTTTATTTTATTTACTTGAAAGGCAGAGAGAGAAGGAAGGAGAGAGCGTGAGCGAGCGAGCTTCTGTCTTGGCTGCAGCAGCCAGAGCTGGGCTGGGCCAAAACCAGGAGCCTGGAACTCCATCCAGGTCTCCCACGTGGGTGCAGGGGCCCAAGCACTTGGGCCATCTTCCACTGCCTTCCCAGGCGTGTTAGCAGGGAGCTGGATCAGAAGTGGAGCAGCCGGGACTCGACCCAGTTCACCAGGTGTGTTCACAGCTCTGACCTCGGCCCCGGTCTACCAGGTCCTGGGCAGCCTCTCTCTGTCCCCAAGAGCTCCATCAGAGACCGTCTCTCTGTGTGGCACCTGCCAGGCCCCAGAGGGTGGGCACCAAGGGCCTTGTCCAGCACGATTAGCCAGTCTTTCTGCAGTGGCCTTGGGCTGACATTGAATGGTTCCCAGAGGGATGGGTCGGCGACTCAACGTGTGGTGTCCCTGCCCAGCTCGGGCTGTGAATCCAGGCTTTCCCGAGACTGCCCCACGGCTTCCGAGCAAATCAGCATATCTGTGCATCCCTTGGAGGTTTCGGGGGTGTCGCTGTGCCCGCTGTGTGCTCCTGGGGTTCCGGGCCCTTTGCACCTGCCGGTGTCCAGCATCCATGTGTCCAGACCTGGCTCCTTGTGTGTGGCGTGCTGCTTCCCCCACGCCCCTGAGCCCTTGGTTCTTGGTCTTTTGGGGTAGAGTAGAGGGGAGGGCCTCCCCACCCCCACCCCCAGCTCCTCCACAGCACCCATGTATTTTTTTAAATTTATTTGATGGGTAGAGTTACAGACAATGGGAGAGAGACAGAGAGAAAGGTCTTCCTTCCGTTGGTTCACTCCCCAAATGGCCGCTACGGCCAGCGCTGCGCCGATCCGAAGCCAGGAGCCAGGTGCTTCCTCCTGGTCTCCCATGGGGTGCAGGGCCCAAGGACTTGGGCCATCCTCCACTGCCCTCCGGCCCAACAGGAGAACTGGACTGAGAGAGCAGCTTGATCAGAACCTGGCACCAAATGGGATGCTGGCGCTGCAGGGGGAGAATAACAAATGAGCCACGGCGCCAGCCCTGGATTATTTATATATTTAAAGATTTATTTACAGGGGCCAGTGCTGTGGTGCAGCAAGTTAACGCCCTGGCCTGCAGCGCTGGCATCCCATATGGCCGCCTGTTCAAGTCCTGGCTGCTCCACTTCCAATCTAGCTCTCTGCTATGGCCTGGGATAGCAGTAGAAGATGGCCCAAGTCCTTGGGCCCTTACACCCTTGTGGGAGACCCGGAAGAAGCTCCTGGCTCCTGGCTTCAGATCGGTGCAGCTCCAGCCAGTGTGGCCAATTGGGGAGTGAACTAGCGGATGGAAGACCTCTCTCTCTCTCTCTCTCTCTCTCTCTCTCTCTGTAACTCTGACTTTCAAATAAATAAATAAATCTCTTTAAAAAATATTTATTTACAGAGTCACAGAGAAAGAAGGAAAGATATATACAGAGACAGAGGCCTTCCATGTGTTGGTTCACTCCCCAGATGGCTGCAGTGGGCCAGCGCTGGGCCAGGTGGAAACCAGGAGCTTCTTCATGGTCTCCCATGCAGGTGCAGGGGCCCAAGCAGTTGGACCATCTTCTACTGCTTTCCCAGGTGCATTAGCAGGGAGTTGGATTGGCAGTGGAGCAGCTGGGACTCGAACCGGAGTCCATAGGGGATGCTGGTGTCTCAGGCGGTAGCTTTACCCGCTATGCCGCATGCTTGCCCCTGGGATTTTTTTTTCTTTAAACTGTAATTGTTACTGTTGCTATGGAAATTTTGAGACAGAAGCAGAAAGGTCCCAAGGACCTGTGCGTGTCCGTCACCCACCTGCCACAGTTACCAGGTCCCGGCCAGTCCCTCCTCTTCCGCCTCATCCTAAAGCCAGTTGCAGTCATCGTGTCATTCCATTCGTCAGGATTTCTGGTTGCATCTTTAAAAGATAAGAATTACTTCCTTGGGGCTGGCACAGTGGCGTAGTAGGCTAAGCCTCCACCTGCAGTGCCAGCAGCCCATAGGGGCACCAGTTTGAGTCCTGGGTGTTCCTCTTCTAATCCAGCTCTCTGCTAATGACCTGGGAAAGCAGTAGAAGATGGCCCAAATGTTTGGGCCCCTGCACCCATGTGGGAGACCTGGAAGAAACTCCTGGCTCCTGATTTCAGATTGGCCCAGCTCTGGCCATTGCAGCCATTTGAAGAGTGAACCAGCGGATGGAAGACCTCTCTCTCTGTCTCTCCCTCTCTTGTCTGTAACTCTGCCTCTCAAATAAATAAATAAGAATTACTTCCATGAAAAAAAAAAAACATAACCAAAGTACCATGATCCTCCCTAACAAATCAACGCTGGATTGGAGTGAGATTGTCTTAGCGGAGCTGGGACTCTCCCTGTCTCCTGGAGAGAGGGCAGTAGAGGGGGAGGGGCAGAGGGCAGAGGGCGGGGGTCACACACACACAAGTGTCCAGCAGAAGGCTGAAGAGGAAGTGAATGACCTGCTGCTGGCCTTCCCCTAAGCAAGCGGGACCCGTGGGCTTGGCCCTGCAGGGTGCAGGGGGAGGGTCCGAGCCGGGGGAGTTGCCGACAAGGACGCTGCAGCTCCAGCGTTAGCCAAGAGCCACCGAGGGGTGACGTAGAAAGCGATGGGATGCGGTGCTGCGGGAGACGTGGCAGTTTGGATTTAGATGTGACCCCGTGCCCCGCGCAGATGGCTGCAGCTTCCTCCCCCTCCCCCCTGCCCTCCACCCCGAGGGGCCCGATATGAATCACCACCAAGCCAAAGAGGCTCGGGGGAAGTGGGTCACGGGCGATGCTGAGCACGTGTGCAGGATCATAGGAGACCCGTGTGCAGGGCGCGGGGACGCGCGGCCGGGTGTGCCTGGGGAGGGGGCACGGCCAGCCGAGCCAGGAGCCAGCCCAGTGGTTACAGGCACCGTGGAATGTGATCCTTAGCAGGGCAGGTGTGTGTGTGTGCGCGCGCGTGAGATTCTCTGAAGCGGTCAGAGCGTGCATTCACCGTCATCTGCACTTAGTGCCTTCTTCCCATGAAGGTGGATCAAGCCTGGGCCGTGGCCTTGATGACTAATTGCCTCCTTTGCAATCGAGGGCACAGCAGCCTTTGCCTTTGCAAGTGACCAGATGGGAAGGTTCCGCGCTTTGCTGCCGGTTCCATGGTAACCTGTGGGCACCGACACCTGCCGTGCCACAGGCGGGTGGCGTTGGACCCCGGGGGCCAGGCCAGCGCCCTTGAGCTGAGCCCTGGGCGAGCTGGACGGTGACATTTTCCCGGGTGCCCTGTGGCTCCACTCCGGGCTGTGGAACCTGAAGGCTGGACTCTGCCGGGGACCGGGGGCAGCGGCTGAGTCTCAGCTGCCTGGGGCTAGGAACGGATGCGGCTCCGGGATCCTGGCCCTGCTCGCCTGTGAGTCTCTGGGAGGCTGGATGAGCCCTGCCACCTCTCTCAGCTTTGCTTTCTTTGCTCATCAAAGGGAAGAAGAGGACGCAGGATGAGATGGTTATGAGGATGCATGATCATAAAATAAGCCAAGGCAACTCGGGGTGAGAGGCACCGCGTGGGATAGCCTGCAGGCGCCAGCCATCGTCACCACCGTCCCCAGCTCTGCAGCAGCGCCCTTAGCTGACGTCTGTGTGTGACGGTCTCACGCGTAGGACATTGAG